CCAGAATTTTAAAACCACCTATTGTATTATAATTGTTTTTCTCCAATAACAATATTGGAAAAATAAGAGATTAAAGTTTCAAACTAGTGTGGATAAAGTATCCCAACTTTCATTAAAATTTCTTTCTATAATTCATAACAAAAAAGTCTGACCAGGACTGAATTGGATGAACTATGTATTCTAGGAATTTAATGAAAAGTGGTATAATCTATCTATCACTAATATTTGGAATATTAGTAAAAAATAAGGTTTATTGATTGTATGAATACATTATTAGAATTCATACCATCTGAGAAGTTTTCTTGATTTATAAAAATACATTTCTGGGACTATATGGCGTATAAATAACATTAATTATTGGTAATTTAACTTTTTAACCAATAACTATTTGGAAAATTGTTGTAGAGACTTAGTTTAGATGGCAAATGAAAGATAAGAGTAGTGTTTACAACGTCCCTACCTTTTTTAAACAAAGCATGAGGGAATTTTACCGAAAAATTAATATTAAATTGAAGAAAAAATTAAAACCTCCGGAATTTTTGATAATTATTTTTTTAGTAGCAATATGAGAAAAAATAAAAAATAAATCTTACAAATTAGGTTTGAAAAAGTATCTCAACTTTCATTAGATTTCTTTCTATTATTCATTACAAAAAAGTCTGACCAGGACTGATTTGGCTGAACAATATTTATGTCAGCAATTTTTTGAGTGCTGATATACTCTATCTAACACTTATAATCAAATTTTAAATGTAGTTACATAAAAAATGTTATTTATCAGATGTTTAATTATTTAAATTCAAAATATTTGAGAAGATTTTCCTGGCAAATAAAATAGATAAGACTAGTGGTTGTAATGTTTCTTTTCAAGGAAAACATGAGGGAATTTTACTAAAAAAATTAAAAAAAAAAAAAAAAAATTGAAGAGCAACAAAATGTTATATTTTTTATACCCGGAGAATTTTGGTACCTGCTATTGTTTGGTAATTGTTTTTAGTAGCAATATTTGGAAAGTAGAAATAATAATTGCAAATTAGTGTTGAAAAAGTATCCCAACTTTTATTAAAATTTCTTTTTATAATTCATAACAAAAAGTCTGACCAGGACTGATTTGGATGAACAATATTTATTTCTGGAATTTAATAAGTGCTGGCATACTCTATCTAACACTAATAATTAAATTTTAAATGTAGTTTCATAAAACACGTTATTTATCAAATATTTAAATATTTGAGAAGGTGTGTTGTATTTATAAAATAATGGTCTGGACTATATGGCGTATAACTAATATTAATTATTGGGTACAATGACTTTTAATTTGATAGTTCCTTGGAAAATTGCTGTAGAAACTTGATTTTCTTGGCAAATGAAAGATTGGACTAGTGGTTATAATGTTTCTTCTTCTTTTCAAGCTAATCATGAGGAAATTTAACAGAAAAATTAAAATGAAATTAAAGAATGGAAATTTTTTATTTTTTTAACCTCCAGAATTTTATAATCTATTATTCTTTGATAATTGTGTTTTTAATTACAATATAGGAAAAAAAATAAAGATTAAAGTTTCAAATATGTGTTGAAAAAGTGTCTCATCTTTCATTAATTTCATTATTCATTACAAAAAAATCTGACCAGGACTGATTTGGATGAACAACTTATTTCAGGAATATGATGAGTGCTGACATATGTAATGTTACGCGAATTCTCAAATTTTAATGTAGCTAAACAAATAAAGAACTTTATAGATTGCATGTAAACATTATTTAAACTCATATTATCTGAGAACTTGCGTTGAATTTAAAAAATAAATTTCTTGGACCATAGGGCGTATAACTAATATTAATTATTGGGTACAATGACTTTTTATAAAATAGTTTTTTAAAAAATTGCCATAGAAACTTGATTTTGATGGCAAATAAAAGATAAGACTGGTGTTTATAATATTTCTATTTCCTTTCAAGCAAATCATGAGGATTTTTTTCAGAAAAAAAAAAATAGAAAAATAAATTGATGAATATTAAATTTTTATTTTTTAAGTCCCCAGAATTGTAGTACCTACTGTTGTTGATAATTTTTTTTTATAATATGGAAAAAAATTAATATTAAAGTCACAAAGCATCTCAACTTTCATTAAAATTTCATATATTATTCATTACAAAAAAAGTGTGACCAGGACTTATTTGTATAAACTATATATGTCAAAAAAATTCAATGAGAAGTGATATACGCTATGCAACATAAAAACTGTAGTTACTTAATGTATAAATTATCTTATTTCAAATTATTTGACAACCTGTGTTGTATTATAATAATAAACCCCTTGAACCACGTGGCGTATAACTAATATTAATTATTGGCTAAAATGACCAATAGCCCTCTGGAAAATTGTTGTAGAGACTTAGATTTGTTGGCAAATAAAAGATAAGACTAACGATTTAAATGTTTAAAAATAAAACATGAGGTTTTTTTTTTTCAAATTATTTAGGAAAAATGTTTGTATTTTGGAAACATATTTCCTGTACCACATTGCGTATGAATAATATTAATTATTGGGTAAAACGAGGTTTTATTCAATATCTCTTTGAAAAATTGTCGTAGAGACTTAGTTTAGATGACAAATGTAAGATAAAACAAGTGGTTGTATGTTTGTGCACCTTTTTAAGTGGAACATGACGGAATTTCAAGGAAAATTTTAAAAAAGTTTAGAAGTATAACAAAATTTTTAATATTTTAAACCTCCAGAATTTAATGATCTATTATTCTTTGAAAGTTTTTTTATTTTGTATTATTATTTTTTATTATAGAGACAATAAAGATTAAAGTTACAAATTAATATTGAAATGGTATTTTAAGCGTCATTCAACTTCATTCTATTATCCATAACAAACCAATCTGACCAGGACTGATTTGGATGAACACTAAAGGAAATTTTGTTGACTTGAACAATTATTTGTGTGTTTAATTTACAAAACTTATAGTTTTTATGTTCAATTTATAGAATGTAATAAATGACCTTCATTGAAATTTATTTAACTTAAAATTATTACGAATAATTTATTATCATTAAAAATTGTTCTGCTTCCAAGTACCACAGTGCGTATGACTATTATCAATTATTGATTCAAGCAGGAGTTTGTCCAATAGCTCTTTGGAAAATTTTCGTAGCACTTAAGTTTCGACGGCAAGAGAAAATTTAGTCGATCGTAATTTGCATACTTGTAATGGAGTGAAATCAAAGGTGTTTAAACAGAAAACTGAGAAATATTGAGAATATAAAACAAATTCCCCTTGAAAGGTATCCCAGAACAATAAAGGTAAACTCATTTGATAAATTTAATATGGCAAGGAGTGGGATGAAAAAACTGCAACCAATTTCAGACTGCTGTCATTTCTTGGCCAAATTATTAAATTATTATTAGTGACAGCTCATTATTATTATGACGTTACCGTGAAGTGGACGGAAGAAAACAGCAACATCAGCAGAAATGGTTCGACTTGATCGAAACCCGCGCAGTCGCCGAAAAATGGTTCGAGAGCTGAACATATCGCAATATTCCATTCGGCAAATATTGAAAAATGAGCTCGAGGTAAAACCATTGAAATTCAAAAAAGTGCAAGAACTTACATCGCAAGAGAAAAAAAATATACTCAAAAGAGCTAACGAGTTGCAACGCTTGGCCAAAAGTAGTGAAAGAGGTCAGCTGAAAATGTGCACGAGAACTCAAGCGCCGGTCATGGTAATGATGTGGGCCGCCATAGCAGCCGATGGTCGCTTGTATTAATCGTCCCGGTCGGGCGAATAAATGCCGAATATTATCTCGAAAATATTCGGGAGGGTGTAATAAACATTTTGGCCGTAGACCAAGGACATTCCAACAGGACTCAGCACGCGCCACCCAAGAATGGTTAGAAAATGAGGTTCCTCGCTTCATTTCCAGCGTACAATGGCCACCAAAATCTCCGGATACCAATCCGTTGGACTATTGTGTGTGGAGTATTTTGGAAAGCGAGGTTGGCACTAAAAAATACCAAAGTGTCGATCGCCTCAAGCAAGCGTTTCGCCGGGAATGGTCCAAAATACCGCAGATCGTGTGACGGTTTCATTGGCCGTTTGAAGGCCAAAATTCGTGCCAAAGGGTGGCCAATTCGAACAAACCTAAGCTTATTCTAAAATTTGATGCTATTTTCAACATTTTTTGCTTTCATTCAATACAAATTAAAAAAAAAAATGTCAAAATTATGTCGTTTGACATTGTTGCAGTCTTTTATCTCACCCTGTATTGTCAATAATTTCCCATTACATTTTTGATGATTGAATTTTGAAAATAAAAAGAAAAATAGAAAAATTAATTAATTTTCAATTAAACTCTTTGACTAATTCATAACAAAACAGTCTGACCAGGACTGATTTGCATGAACTCCCAAAAAAATTGTTGGCAATTTGTTTGGATTTGTTTACATTAAAATATATAAAGAGAAAATTCAAAATTTTTAATGATCAAGTAAATATATGACTTAGAATTTCTTGTCATTTAAAATTGTCTTTTTTTCAAGTACCACAGTGCGCGTATGAAAATTATAAATTATTGACTTAAATTTGAAGTGAAACGCCAGAAATTTTAAAAACAAATTGGAAATTATTAATTTTAATATTAAAACATATTACCCATTAGATGTATCCTTAATATTTTTCCTGCTCCCTTATGGAAATGTTTGAAGAAAATACAGAATTGCTGTAGAAATTTTTGTTGCAAATGTAAACAAATTTCGAATTAATATCTTTGGATGATTCATAACAAATCAGTCTGACCAGGACTGATTTAGATGAACCCCAAAAAGCAATTTGTGATAATTTTATTTCTAAGTTTAATTAGCAAAATTTAATTTTCTGTGATCAATTCCAAAAAAAAAAAAAAAAAATTATAATTCTCACTCATCATTTAAAAGAGCTTTTTTCAAGAACCATTAATAAAAATGATTGAATCCAAGCACTGTTAGTTATCATGAAATTTTACTTTGGACATCGGACATTGCTGATAACAACAAATGCTAGAGGAGCCTCACAACTTCTGCGAAAAGGATTCTGTAAGAATTCCCAATTGCAAATTTAAATTTTTGAATTTTTAATTCACTTATTTTTTTTTAACTTTCCCTACTTTCTCCTTTGTCTAGTTTACTTTTTACCTGGGCTTTTGTGTTGTTATGCTCTTCCTTCTTTTTTAAGTTTCATATTTATTATATGTTTTTAAACATTTGAACATGTTTTTCTTTTTTAATTAATATTTCTCTTTCATCTTTAACGAACAATTATCGTTTAACTTGTTTTCTAAAAAATATTTTCCTTTTATAAAAACTAAATAATTTATCATAATAGTAATAGTAATAATAAATAGTCTAATTTAACTTATAATTATTATAATATAATTTAGTATTTTATTTTTCTTACAGTTTCTCTTTTGTTGTTAGTATTATTGTTTTGTGGTTGTAGTTGTTGTTTTTGTCTGTTGATTGCAGTTCTAGTAGGGCATATAAAACGTTTGTTGCATTTATAATCATGTAACGTAGTCGCGACTCGTTACATATTCGTCGCTATAACGACCAGCTGTTGTTAAAAAAAAAACGGGAGAAATTTGAGAAAAAAAAAAATAATCAGAGAATGAAGGGAGCATTACTCACAGTCTTCCATTAGAATAACCGGTGTTGCCTCCGGATTTGTGCTTGTCAGTGTGTGGGACATCATATTGAAATCATCCTCCATGGACAGGAACGATGTATTCCAACGTGATCTCGGTGTTGTGCGATGTGATGAAACGCCTGTTGTTGATGAGTACAGGCTAAGATTGGTTGGACTGATAACACCCGACATGGTTGTATAACCCAACAGCTATAACAAAATCCGAAGAAGAAGAAGAAAAACAAAGAAAAAGTATTTTAAGGAGACGAAAAAGAAATTCAGGGTCTTCTTAAATATTCAGCATCGTTTTCAGCACTCAAAAAGTCGACATTCAAAAATTACTTATTTTTATACCCTCCACCATGGGTAGGAGGGTATATTAACTTTGTCATTCCGTTTGCAACACCTCTAAATATTCGTCGTAGACCCCATAAAGTATATATATTCATAATCAGCATAAAATTCTAAGACGATTTAGCGATGTCCGTCTGTCTGTCTGTCTGTCCGTCTGTCTGTCTGTCTGTCTGTCCGTCTGTCTGTCTGTCTGTCTGTTGAAATCACGATAGAGCTCACATTATTTGACGTAGACCTTTGAAATTTGGCACAAGTGTGTGTATTGTCTCTAGGATGGTTGGTATTGAAAATGAGATATATCAGTCCACGTTCTGGTATAGTCCCCATATGACGGTACCTCCCGATATTCGGTATTTTGATGATTTATGCCACATTTTTTCACGGATTTATCTGAAAATTGGTATTTGTAGGTCATGACGGGTCCCTGAGCGTGTGGCAAAACATTGCATGTATAGGTCCACGTTTTGGTATAGCCCCCATATAACGGTACCTACCGATATTCGGTATTTTGATGATTTATGCCACATTTTTTCACGGATTTGTCTGAAAATTAGTATTTGTAGGTCATGACGGGTCCCTGAGCGTGTGGCAAAACATTGCATGTATAGGTCCACGTTTTGGTATAGCCCCCATATAACGGTACCTACCGATATTCGGTATTTTAATGATTTATGCCACATTTTTTCACGGATTTGTCTGAAAATTGGTATTTGTAGGTCACAACGGGTCCCTGAGCGTGTGGCAAAACATTGCATGTATAGGTCCACGTTCTGGTATAGTCCCCATATAACGGTACCTCCCGATATTCGGTATTTTGATGATTTATGCCACATTTTTTCACTGATTTGTGTAAAAGTTGGTATTTGTGGGTCATAATGGGTCCTAGTTCGTGTGGCGAAACATTGTAATTATAGGTGCACGTGTTGGTGTAGCCCCTATATAACGGTACCTCCCGATATTCGGCATTTTAATGTTTTTTGCCACATTTCTTCTAATGTTCTTTTACCCTAAGGTGGAGGGTATTAAAAGTTTGGCCCGGCCGAACTTAATGTTTTTTTACTTGTTTACTTTATTCTGATGAACTAATACCTTTTCGTACCCTAAATTCGTTATAACTCCAAAAACAACTCTTGTACTCTTATAGTATCCACAAACCCAAAAACCCCTTTTTGCTTGTGTGTAGACATAAATACAAACTGCAATTAAAAGAATTAGCACTGATCGTTTACTCCGTACCGATGGAACAGTATTTGGTACACTTAAGTACCAAAAATCGTTCATCTTGATTTTATTACGCTAAGACTTTTTATGAAGCCACTTATAAAAATTTGAGAGTTCATCCTGATAACTCGGTACCTTCTAGTGCTTATTGTATATTAATACTCTACACCACGATGCGGAACAGGATATTGAGTATTTGTGCAATTGTCTGTAACATGGAGAAGTAAACGAGATAGATCCATAGTTGCTTTTAATGATCTGCATAGAGTTACATTGTGGGTCGATTTATGCATGTCCGTCCGTCTGCCCATGTATTTTTGTAAACAAAGTACAGGTCTCATTTATAGTCCAGTTTAAATGTATATATATATATATATATATATATATATATATATATATATATATATATATATATATATATATATATATATATATATATATATATATATATTGCTCAGAAATACCTATGCCAAGTTGTATCGAGATCGGTTCAGATTTTGATATATATCCCATATATATCGTAATCCGATTTTAAGCTTATTGTGCTTCAAATAGTTACTATAGGCCCAAATTGGACGAACTTCGGCCATAATACGCATTTGAAAGGAACTTGAACAATTTCAAAAAACAAGTAAAAAAGCTGTAAGTTCGGCCGGACCGAACTTTTAATACCCTCCACCATTTGGTACAAATTTGGCAAATTTCCAAAAAAAAAAAATAAAATCCGTTAAAAATTCTGTTAAAATCTTAAAAATACCGAATGCCTATAAGACGACGTGGACCTGCATAGGCAACTTTTGTCATAAGTTATTACAATATTGTAATGAAATAATGTAGCTAAAATCATCAAAACACCGAATATAGGGGGTATCGTTATATGGGGGCTATACGAAGACGTGGACCTACATGGCCTATTTTCTGTTTTATGCTGCAGTATCTATTACGAACTTCAAATACCAAATTTGGAACGATTCCGTTAAATGATGTCGCTAAAATCATCAAAATACCGAATATCGGGGGGTACCGTTATATGGGGGCTATACGAAGACGTGGACCTAAACAGATTATTTTCTGTCTTAGGCTGTAGTATCCATTACGAACTTCAAATGCCAAAATTTGAAACAATTCCGGTGAATAATGTCGCTAAAATCATCAAAATACCGAATATCGGGAGGTAGCGTTATATGGGGGCTATATGATAACTTGGGCCTACATGGTCCATTTACGAACTTAACCTGTCTACTGGCAAAATATACATGTGTGCAAAATTTTAGCCTTCTATCTCAATTCGTTCGAAAGATAGCATGATTACAACAGACAGACAGACGGACATCGCGAGATAGTCTTAGAATTTTACGTTGATCCAGAATATATATACTTTGGTGGAGGGTATAAAAACTCAAAATACGGTTTAAATGAAAACCGTGGACCTCCATACGCAATTTTTTGCTATAGGTTGTAGTATACATTACGAACTTTGCGAAGACATGTACCTGCATGAACAATTTTCAATCTTATCCCAATAAATTTCGAAATTCTAGTAATTACTAGTATTGGGGTTAGACGGAATATATACGAGGGCTCAGGTGCGAGCCGCTCGTGATAAAACGTAGAGAGCAACAAGTTAATAAGCTAAGCTAAGTTCGGCCGGGCCAAACTTTTTTTTTTACCGTCCACCATTTTTAAGGAACTTGAAAATTGCCAAAAAATCTGTCGCAAAATATTGCTGAAATGAAAACCGTTATATGGGGGATATACGAAGATGTGGTCCTGCATGTACAATTTTCAAAGTCTGTAGTACTCATTACGAACTTTTATCTTGATTTTTCGGTAAAAAAATGTCCTGGTGGCTATACGAAGACTTGGACCTGCATAAATAATTTTTTGTCATAGACTGTAGTACTCAATACATTTGCATTAAGTTTGGCAATGATTTACTCACGATGACCATGGGGAGAGCAAGCGTACTCTCAAATTTGTGGAGTGTGTGTGCAGGAGCAATTGCATATGTATGGGTTGCCAATCCCCGAATATAGACCCTCTTTAGACAGTGTTCGATAGATGCATATTATGTTAAACAAAATCTCCGCTATGGTACGCTCCGTACCCTCATTGTACGGATTTGAATAAAGACAAAGTGTAATACATTTAGAAAATGTTAAATTTTCCCTAAAATTCTGCCCCATCCTATTCTCTCCACTCCCACATTCCCGAAAATACTCTTTGAAACCTGTTGGGAGTACAAAAAAAAATTAACTTTTCATTGTAAACTGTACAACAAATGTCAGAAAATTAACCACTTAGGGGGACCGGACCCAGGGTCCCACCGCACCCAACCATGCGACAGTGTCTGCCCAAATTTACCCAGATAAATAAAAGTCATTCCGATACTCCACTTACCGGCGTTGTTTGCGTATGGAAATGATTAAAGTATTCACGACCATTGGTGTTCGGATATGGCTGGGCCGAGATGCGTGTCAGCGCTGATGTGGGCGTTGACACCGCCACAGCTGATGCCGACGATGTGGGCGAGGTTTTACATCGTGCCACATCAATGATGTGATGGGGGTGCGGTGATTGTGTGGGTGCTGGAGGCGGCGAGGCGGATGCTGTCGAGGCAACCACCAGATCGGAAGAATTATTGGTGGTGGCGCTACCCACAGTTATGGTGGTGTTGGAAGCCGTTGTGTCTTGGGCGGAACTCGTGGAGGCGGTTGTGTTGGTAAGTTTAGAAGACATTGAAGTGAGACCACTGCTCGAGGTGTGATCAATGGTGGTGTGTTGCTGCTGCTGCTGCTGCTGCTGTTGATGATGTTGCTGTTGTTGCTGCTGCTGACCATGACCATGGTGATGATGATGATGGTGGTGATGTGGGTGATGCTGCAAACTCTGATGACTGTGCGAATGATGACGCGGCGAATCACCAGCCGAGGATACACTCGTCAGCGGTGGTGGTGATATGGCGGTTGAAGTTGGTGGCGATGCCACCATTGTCAAGTCCCCCGTAGAACGTATGATGGCTACCGGTCGGGCCATGGGCGGCAGAGGTGGTGGCGGCAACATGGTGCTGTACTGCTGGTAGTGAGCTGCAGCTGCGGCAGCCGATACGGCCGATATTTTGGGACCACGACCCACGGCAGCGGCGGCAGCAGCGTGCTGCAATTGAAAATGGGAAGACGTTTGATGGTGATGCACATGTAGATCGGATGGATCTCCAGCATTGGCTGGATGTATACCCCCAGTGTCCTGGCACACATAGGCCACAAATTCCGACATATCCTGGCCGTGCTGTACCAATTCTGTGGCATATTTGGGCGTCGCTGAGGCCTGATGCAGTTGATGCTGGTGGTGGTGCTGATGGTGTTGCTGCTGCTGTTGATGATGATGATGGTGGTGTTGTTGTTGTTGCTGCTGCTGTTGCTGGGCAGCATGATGAGCTTCTTCGGCCGATTCATTGGGATTTGAGCCGGGACTATTTTGCTGGGGATAGTACAGAGCCGGGCTAACCGAATTTGGCACCAAGGATGAGCTGACATTGTGCTGCATGAGAACTGAAAGAAAAGAGATTTATTATTACAATACAAAGTCATCGGAGAGCCATTTTCTACCTTCTCCCGGTCGCATCTGGCCCATGCTCAACAAAACTCGATTGCTTGTTGGGGTGTATCTTTGTAAAGCTGGATCTTCGGCATTGGTGGCTGAAGAAGTTCCCGCCCCACCATTACTGCCATTGTCTTCATTTTGCCTTAATATCACAGAGAAACTGCTTCCGTCTTGGGGCGAACCGTTCGGATCACTCTTACAGGTGGCTGCCGAGGAGGCCCTTAGGAGGGAAGAATTCGAAATATGCATGCTGCTGCGTGGATCCACAAAGTCAACTAAAGCAGGGCGGAACAAAATATATGAATATGGAAAGTGTCCACTGAACTTTACCCTGACACCACTTACTGCTATAACCCGAGGACAATACCATGGAAGCACTGACCGACGAACGACCATCGGCTGAGGTCACCATGCCAGCACTGTTCACCCCACCCACTACCGATCCCAGAGGAGCAGCTGAGGCCGACATCTGATATGTGTTGCACTCATAGGCGGCCGCCGGATGCTCCAATTTAATTGAACTAGCCTGGATGAGATCGTTGGTGGTTTCTTCCAAAATGGAAGCTACAACGAAAGAATTTTCACGCTCTTAATTTAAATCAATCTCTCTGGACGTCAGTGTGAATAGCAAATTAGACTAGCATTTCCCAAACAAAGAAGGAAGAACAAGCAATTACCTTTTGAGAGCTTCCAAAGTTCCTTGGAAGAGAATACACCCGTGGCCAAAATTATATCATTGCACACAACACCATTGTAGGGATTGTGGCTGTAGCCTGCAAATGGTGTGTTGTCTACATCTGAATTGTTAGTGTCCTTGATACAAGAAAACTTCACATGATCCTCTTCATCCTGCCGATACATACCTTTGTTCTTGCGCTCATCTTCAAGGCGTTTCTTATTGTCAGGGGCATTGCTGTTGTTGTTGTTGTTATTGCTGTTGGTATTATTGTTATTGGTGCTGTTGGCATCATTGCTGTACAGCATCAACGATGGCGTTGAGGGGGTACCCGGTGGCGGAGATGTGGGCGATGGACTGCTCAGCGGATCATGGGTATTGATGAAATTGGCCAAATACAAATCCAATTCCCTCACCGAGACGTTAATGTGATACGGATTCACGCACAATGCCGGGTGTATGCATTCGGGACTCTTTTCCAAGCGTTCGCCGTCGGTACTCTCCAACGGTATGGCCTTGAACAGAATGACCATAACCAGATCCAAACGCCATACCTTGTCCGCCTGACGCAAACAGTCAATGCGTCGCATTTTGCCCTTCTGGTCGGGATTGGACAGGACACATATCGATTTGCGTTTGCCCGTTATGGATTGCACGAAATCTTCGCGACATTCTTGGGTTATGTCTTTGCGTAGTTTGCCCAGCAAACGGGAAGCCCATTTCTGTTTGACTTCGGCTTTTTCGTTCTGCAATCAAGGCGAAGAGGGGGAAAATTAATTAATTAAATGAAATTTTGAATTTTAAAATGAAAAATGAAAATATTTTTATTTCTGGCGACTGGGAGGGAATCTTTATTCTATAAAAAATTATTCGATAAAAAAATTCATTGACTATGAGGGTTTTCCTAAAGAAAAAATTCAACGAGGAGGAAGTTTTTCCTATAGAAAAAACTGTAAGTTCGTGCCGAACTTTGAATACTCTCCACCATTTGGTAACGATATTGGCAATTTTCAAAAAAATAAAATCCGTTAAAAATTCTGTTAAAATCTTAAAAATACCTAATATAGCCGTATTTTAGGGTCTATACGACGACGTGGACCTGCATAGACAACTTTTGTCATAAGCTATTACAATATTCAAATCTGAAACTTGAAAACAAAATTCTGTTTATAATGTAGCTAAAATCTACAAAATGCCCAATATTGGGAGGTACCATTGGGGTTATAAAATGTGGACCTGCACTTACAATTATCTCTCACAGGCTGTAGTATCCATTACGAACTTCAAATACTAAAATTTGAAACAATTCCGTTGAATAATGTCGCTAAAATCATCAAAATACCAAATATCGGGGGGTACTGTTATATGGGGGCGAAGACGTGGTCCTGCACAGACAATTTCCTGTCGTAGTATTCATTACGAACTTCAAATACTAAATTTGAAATGATTCCGGTCAATAATGCCGCTAAATTTATCAAAATATCGAATAACGGTGGGTACAAATATCGAATAACGGTAGGTACCGCTATATGGGGGCTATACGAAGACGTGGAATTACATGACCAGTTTTCTGTCTTAGGCTGTAGTAACCATTACGAATTTCAAATACAAAATTTGAAACATTTCTGGTGAATTATGTCGTTCAAATCACCGAAATACCGGAAAAAGGGAGGTATTATTATATGGGGGCTATACGAAGATGTGGACCTAATACACATTTTATCTACCTACTTCAATTCGTTCGGAAGCTAGAGTAATTTCCACAGACGGATAGACGGACGGAATTTTATGCTGATAAAAATTCCTCAGTTTTTATACCCTACATCTCAAGGTGGTCAGGGTATTATGTCTTTGTGCATTTGTTTGTAACAGGCAAAAGGAAACCAGATAGACCCAAGTTCCTTTTGATGATCTGCATAGAATCACATTCTGAGTCGATTTATGCATGTCCGTCCGTCTGTCTGTCCGTCTGTCCATGTATTTTTGTAAACAAAGTACAGATGAAATTTTGCACAAATCATTTGTTTGGCCCAAGGACGAACCCTATTGAAATTGGAGATAATCGGTCAAAATTTAGATATAGCTCCAATATATATCTTCGTCCGATTTGCCTTTTATTGTGCACCAAACGTGTAATATCAGTCCGAATTGTATGGAATTTTTCACGTACGATCAGATTGGACCTGAAAATAAGTATGCCAAATTTGATCGAAATCGGTTCAGATATAGCTATAACTCCCATATATATTGTTCATCCGATTTGTTATTTTTGTCCTCCGCAGCCGTAATATGCACTCTGTAACAACAATATTTGGGGAAATATATCAAATACAGCTGAGAAATACATTTGCTAAATTTTGGTGAAGATCGGTTCAGATTTGGATATAGCTCCCATATATAACTTCGTCCGATTTACCTTTGATTGTGCACCAAACGTCTAATATTTGTCCGAATTGGCACTTGGCACTTACGACCGAATTGAGTCTAGAAGTTAGTATGTCAAGTTTGGTGAAGATCGGTTCAGATATAGCTATAGCTCCCATATATACTGTTCATCCGTTTTGTCATATTTGTTACCTACAGCCGTAATATGCACTCCAACGAGTGCATACCCACGATATTCAGGGAAATATATCAAATACAGCTCAGAAATATCTTTGCCAAAATTTTATCGAGATCGGTTCCGATTTGGATATAGCTCCCATATATATTTTTATTCGATTTCAAATTAATTGTGCACCAAATGCGCAATACAAGTCCGAATTTAAAAGATACAAATGCTTCGGCATATTTTGTCCTTTGATCTTTAAATTATAATTATAATCATAGGGTGTATGATTGAATTCTCTCATAAAAACTTTTAATTGTTATGTGGAGCTCAACTAAATTAGCAAAGTGGTGTAGGGTATCATAAAAGTCGGCCTCGCCCGACTTTAGGACTTTCTTTACTGGTTTTATGCATATAGAAGTCGCCGAGGATCACTCAGTCTCTCAGAATTGAAAATAAAATAAAAAATAGATAGAAACTATTCACTTAAAAAAAATTAGTGCCATGCATTCCACTCACCTGTAACTCATCCTTACAGTGTCTCTCCTCCTCCAGGGACATACGTTTCTCATGCTTTTTGTAGTATTTTCGCTTCGCTGCTTGCAAATTAAACCATGAATACGAAAATGATTTGACATACGGCAACAGGGCTTCAATGAACGGATGAAACTCATCCTGGGATCGATCAAGAGAAAAAAAAAAAAAACAAAAACAACAAATTTTTATATTAAAACGCATTGGTTAGCCAAAGAAAAAAATTACAAAAAACACTAATTAAAGAAATAATGAGAAAAATCACTAGAATACAATACGATATGGCAGAAAGGGTACGATAATAAATAGACAAGTAGTATTTGAAACATGTACGTAGAAAGATATATAGACACACAGATAAATGTAAACAGATATAGGTATATATGTATATAAAGAAACATATGTATGAAAGTTAGTAATCAAATGCATTTCATAATCCAATCGTTTGGTAAAGGGGTTGCAGTAATTTTAATTTTATTGTCAACATCGAGATTTTAAAGGAACATCTTTGATTCGCAAAATCGAATTGAGAGAGAGAGAGAGAGCATAATGTAGAGCAAGTGGGAGATTGAGAAAAAAAAATCACACACATCGAGTTTTCTTTTTCTTTTTTTGGTTGGAACATTTCAGACCACAGGCCAAGTTTACAACATTTAAAGTAACGTAGTTTTACACTTAGACACATAACGAACAAAGAAATAGACACCGAATAAAAACATTTACATGGAATAAAATAAAAACACAAACATTTACACAGATAAATATTATACGGAACCAAAAAAAATAATTAGCTAATACATCAATTAACAAACAGTTGTGTTGCAGTTGTTGGTAGGTTCGACATTGGATATGTTTGAGTTGTGTGTTGGTATATAAATGTTAGGTGAGGAATTTTGTTTCCTTAACCAAAGGCCTTTAAAAAATGGAAAGAATTTTAAAAGTACTTTCCGAAATAATTTGCCAATAATTCGAAAAAAGTAAAACTGATTTTTAATTACAACTCCGGTTTCATTTTAAAACGACCCTGAACAAATCTTTACAAATACAGTTTGGTATTTATGACAAATTTAATGAAATTCATGATTCTTTTAATGATTTGCCTGCAATATCCTGTAACAGAGAAATAACATTTTAAATAGCCATATAACTGTGTGTCAGTACGTTTACCCGTAAAAACTTGTTAGTTGTGTCAGCCAAATGACCCGTTGGCAGATAATGTCAACAAACTACCTTCTACATTACCCGTTATTCAAAAGGAAAGCATGAGTACGCTTTCAATACCCTCCACCATTTAAAAGGTACTTGCAAAATTAAAAAAAATCCATTGAAAAATTAAGCTATAATTTTAAAAATTCCGAATATCAGGAAGGAATTAGTATCCATTGTGAGCTCCAAATTACGAATTTGAAATACTTGTGGTGAAAAGTATAACACCAAAAATACGCCAAAAAATTGAAAAAATGTTTTTTTTTTTCAAAAACGAGCCTTTGATATTATTCACAGCCTTTCTTGCCCAAAATATCGTGGACTTTTATTAAAACTTTTGTGCCATTATTTCACCCCAAAAAATCTTCTTTCTGTGGAAATCGCTCAAGCTTCCGAACGAAATGAAGTATGTTGATATTTTACTCAAATGTATATTATGTCTATATAACGGTACCTTCCGATATTCGGTACTTTGACGATTTTAGCGACATTATTCACCGGAATAGTTTCAAATTTGGTATTTGAAGTTTGAAATGGATGGTACAGTCTATGACAGAAAATTGTCTGGGCAAGTTCACGCGTCTTCATATAGCCCCCATATAACAGTACCGCCCGATATTCGGTAATTTGACGATTTTAGCGACATTATTCACTGGAATTGTTTCAAATGTGGTGTTTGAAGTTATTAATAGATACTACAGCCTATGACAGAAAATTGTCTGTGCAGGTCCACGTCTTCGTATAGTCGCAATATAATGGTACCTCCCAATATTCGGAATTTTTCTGATTTTAGCTAATTTTTTTTCGATCGAACCCAACGCCACTCACACCCGCCCCTGCCGACCGAGGGGGCTACCTCCCAGTTACGTAGGGAGCGCGTTCGCCCCATAGTCCGAACTATGGAGGGTTAATAGGCTAGGGAAACCAGCTACAGTTAGATATCAGCCGGTTGAACAAATTATAAAATAAAAACCACACATACAACTTATAAATAATAATAATAATAGAATAGAGTGTCTGGCAACTACTTGATTTATTTCTAAAGAAGTAAAGTAGTACGTTTTATAACATGCAAGGGTTCGGTCAATGATATCTTATTATATAACTTGTTATGGATATCACATAAAGACCTCATAGGATTATGTGATTCATAATTCGACATAGCCAAAGAAAGTTTTAGTGGTAGGTAATTTCGGGTATTACGAGAAGAAATATTAAAACTTAGTTCACAGGTTAAATACTGAGAATCGATTTCACCACGCAAAATTTTTTATTATGAATAAAGCTTGTAACACTAAATCGTCTATTTTTCAGTGTCGGAAGATCAATAAGTTTTAGACGATCTTCATATGGTGGAAGTACTTTGTTTACATTCCATCCTAATACTCTGAGTGCGAATAAAAGGAATTGTGTTTGTACTGATTCCAATTTAGAAGCATATGTTTTATAAAAAGGACTCCACAATACACAACCGTACTCTAAAATAGGCCGAACCAGGCTAGTAAATAAACGCTTAGTCACATGCGGATTCTTAAGACCATCGTTTTATAAAGCCTAGCAATGACTTGACATTATTTACACACGAATCAATATGTAAATTTGAACGCAATTTGTTGTCTAAAATTACGCCAAGATCAACGAATCTACATTGTCCAATTTGTGAGAGTCAATGGGGTCATTATGAAAAGGTTTTGCTCTAAACAAAGTCAATTTTTACATTTCTCTAGATTTAGTGTCATACCATTAGCACTGCACCAATTTACGAGAGAATAGACATCATGTTGCGAATTTAGGGACCTAAGGTGAGAGTTCATATTACAAAAAAGTTTTACATCATCAGCAAACATCAGGATTTTAGAATAATGAATAATCGTTGGAAGGTCATTTAGATACCGTACAAAAAGGAGTCCCCTGAGGGACACAGTTATGCGTTTAGAAAGAATATTATTGAAAGAAACTCTCTGAGTACGTCCTAGCAAATATGATGATATCCATGACAAAAATAATGTTGAGAAACCCATTATGATATCAGTTTGGCATTTCATTGAAAAGCCTTTGTGTAGATGACATATAAGTTCTAATAGATTGGTTACAGTTGATCTACTCTTTCCAATGCCATGTTGGTAGGGCGATATTATTGATGAAACAAAGTGGGTTAATCTACACGAGATTCAAAGCTCAAACAATTTCGGTATTGCGCTTAATTTTGCAATACCCCTGTAATTTTCAATGACACTTCTGTTATCAGATTTGTGCAAAGGAATAACAAAACTAGATCGCCATGCTTGAGGAAAATAACCAGATATTAAGGATGCATTAAATATAGTGGTAAGGGGTGAGTAAAGTTCATGTGCACATGACTTTAAAATGTAAGATGGTACCCCATCAGGACCAGGAGAATAACAACTTTTTAGCAATAATTGGCCATATAGGACCTCATCCTCAATGAGACTAATTTGGAGGAAATAATTTAATCTACTATTATATACGTAGTTATCATAGTAGATAAAGGCTTAGAATATGTATTTTAAAAGAATTCTGCAAACAAATTTGCTATTTCAAGGTGGTCCCCTGACTCACTACAACCAAGTTTCATGCTACTAAGAAATTCGCGAATTTTACGTTTTGAATTTGCAAATTTTTAAAAGTTTTTAGGATTTCCTAGGAAAGTCATTTTTATACCATCCCCCAAAAAAAGTATGGAGGGTATATTAAGTTCGTCATTCCGTTTGTAACTCATCGAAATAATCATTTTAGACCCAACAAAGTATATATATTCTTGATCAGCGTAAAATTCTAAGACAATTTAGCCCTGTCCGTCCGTCTGTTGTAATCACGCTACAGTCTAAACGAATTAAGATAGGAAGCTAAAATTTTGCACAGATAATTCTTTTGTCTGCAGGCAGGTCAAGTTCGAAGATGGGCTATATCGGTCCACGATATCGTATAGCCCCCATATAACGTTACCCCCGATATTCGGTATTTTGATGATGTTAGCCACATTTTTCAATGGAATTGTCTGAAATTCCACAAAAGGAGTCCCTTGTGGGCATTTTACCCCCTCAAAAAGAATTGTCTATATAGGTTCACGATATCGTATATCCCCCATATAACTATACCCCCCGATATTCGGTATTTTGATGATGTTAGCCACACTTTTCAATGGAATTGTCTTAAAATCCACACAAGTAGTTCCTTGTGAGTACTTCATCCCCCTGAGAGAGAATTGTCTATACAGGTCCACGATATCGTATATCCCCCATATAACGGTACCCCCAGATATTCGGTATTTTTATGATTTTATCCACATTTTTCATCGGAATTGTCTGAAAATCCACAAAAGGAGTTCCTTGCGGGTACTTTATACCTCGGCAGAGAATTGTCTATATAGGTCCACGATATCGTATATCCCTCATATAACGGTACCCCCGATATTCGGTATTTTGATGTTTTTAGCCATATTTTTCAACGGAATGGTCACAAGGGGTTCTTTGTACACAAGGTGTTCTTTGTGAGCACTTTACCCCCGACAGAGAATTCTCTATATAGGTTAGCAATATTCGGTATTTTGATGATTTTAGCCAATTTTTCCAATCGTATTGTCTGAAAATCTACACACGGAGTTCTTTATGAGCACTTTACCCCTGAAACGGAATTGTCTATATAGGTCCACAATATCCCCCATATAACGGTACTCCTCTATATTTGGTATTTTGATGATTTTAGCCACTTTTTCCAATTGAATTATCTGAAAATCCACACAAGGAGTTCCTTGTGAGTACTTTACACGCAGACATAGATTTATCTTTATAGGTCCACAATATCGTATATCTCCCCATATATCAACACCTTCCTATATTAGATATTTTAAAGATTTTAAAAGAATTTTTAATGGATTTTATTTTTTTGACAATTTTCTAATTCGTTCCAAATGG